AGAGCGCAATGATGGTGCCAACTTGGGCCAGTGAAGCAACATCCTCCACAACTAGACTGAAGAACAAAAAGACAGCAACTTGTCTGTTCCTCTTCCCCCAATTCCCCAATTTAAAAAAAAAAATAAAACAAACAAAAAACCAAGCAGGATTCCTGAACATCTAAAAGGAAAATCCCAAACTCCAGGGCCTTCAGGGTGCATGCAGTTAATGTAACTACATAAAGCAACCAGGTGTCCGACAAGCACTATGCCTCAGTCAGTGGTCTTCAACCTTGACTGTACATTAGAATTACCTAGGGGGCTTTTAAAAATGCTGATGCCTAGGTTCCATCCCTAAAAATTCAGATTTAATTGGTCTGAGATAAACCTGAGCATTGGAATTTTTTAAAATTTCCTTTGTGATTCTAATGTGGCCAAGGTTGCGGACCACTGGCTTAAATGGGAATCCCATTTATTCCATCTAAGGCAATTAAAACAAATAAACAACAAAGAACACGTCTCTAGCCAAAACAACAACAACAACACCAGGTCTATCCATGTTGCAGACCCTAATGGTTTGGGACTGCAATGTTGCCAGCCTCAGAGGCCCCAGTGGCAGTGTCTGGCTTACAGTATGCCCTGAATGAATGAATGGAAGAGAAAACAAGCTACACACCTGGCGTTCTTCATGTTTGCCGTGCACCTCAATCACATCTCCAAGCACCTTGACCTTGAGTTCCTCTGGGGAGAAGTGCTTCACATCCAGGTTGACAGAGAATCTGTCCTTCTCCAGACGCATCTAGAAATAGTAAGATGAGGAGGAGTGGGTAGGAGAAAAAATGGTAGGAATGTGGATTAGTAGTGTAGTCTTACCATTCTGCTGACTTGCTTTCTAGCCAGGTAGTTAATCCTCCTCTTTTTGGCTAAAAATTCCTTTTTAAATAAACTGATTCTCTGGTTCAGGGGAGCCACCACAGTGGTACCCAAGGCACACCACTTGGTCATCAGGACCAAACTTTATTTACAGGGACAGGGAAGGAGACAGGCCACCCAGGGGTACAATCACAAGGATGGGTCTGGGCATGGCTTCTGCTGCCTCTCTGACCCCAATGCCTGGCCTTGTCATTTGTCTGTGAGACAAAGGCCCCTTCTTCTTGCTCAGGTCTCTGCCAAGTTCCCTACCCACTCAATCTGGAATGTTGTGCTGGCTATGATTGCCCTTCCAAAGCCCTTGAGCTCCTGTTTATTCACACTTAAATATTTTTAAACCAGAGTGTTATCTGTGATAGCTTCTGTCAACCTTATATGTTCACCCTATTCTCCCACCCTCTTAGGACAAGTGAGGGTCCCAAGACTGGACCTACATTCTTTCCTCCTTAGGCTTGGACCCAGGCCAGTGCCCTGTCATTAGCCCTGAGAAACTCAGAAAATCATAGAAGAGGAAATAAGAAGGAAGAAAATAGTGGCTGCTGTCTCCAGCTCCATGCAGTGGGGATGATAAGTTTATGATGAGGTAGGGCTGTTTCCTGGCTCTGAAACTTGAGATGCTAAAATTTGTCAGGAGTATGAGGTATTAGAAGTGGTGAGCAAAGGAGTTTGAAGGCAGCTCTTTTGCTGTAGATTCTTATGAACGAAACCAGAAAGGGACGTTCTACTTAGAAGTTAGGGTATAGAAGATGATCTTCCTAGCACATGGGAAAAAGGGAGTAAGTAGGATACAGAGAAGCATCAAAGACAAACAGGTGACTGGGGGGGGGAGAGAGAGAGGAACTAATAACCTCATCTTTCTTCACTGCAGGACACACAAGTGCCTGAGACTTAAGACACTTAGATATAGCCAGATTTAGACTGACAGAAGAGAACAGACAGACATGTTTCCAGAAGGTTCAGGAAGAACTCGCCTGTTCTACAGAGAAGAGACTTACCTCTGAGAGCCCAGTGTCAAGCCAGCTGGGTGTCCGCAGGAATGAGGGCGGCCGAAGGTAGAAGGGGCTCAGGGAAGTAGAAGTTGGGAAGAGATCAGACTCCAACAGGTGCTCTCCGAAGAACTGGTCAAAGAGGCGGCTGGGGGAGTGGAAAGGAAAGAAAGGGCGTCGGATCCAGGGGTGGTGAATGGCGATGTCCATGGTGGCTTGGTGACTGTGGGGGGTCAGCTGGCTGGTCAGCTCCTTCAGCTGCAGCTACAGCCAGCCCTTTATATATGGAGTCTTGTGAAGCTTCTGGAATGGTGATGTCAGGGGTTTTATTATCCTAGCTCACCGCCCGTTCATGGAGACTTGTGATCAGAGATTTGGCAGTGTGACACATACCCAGTACTCACTGAGCTAAGAAAAGAGAAATACAAACACGTCTGAGCTGTCCAGTGACTTGCCCTGGACTTGTTTCACTAGCTTTCTGCCCACACCCAATGCCCCCCCCCCTCACCCCCCCACCTCTGCTGGGACAGAGTCAAGAATCCAAAGCAGGCAGGAGGTGTGCCCCTCCTCCTCTGCAGCCTAGCAAGCCAGGGGAATCCAGCCAGCAACTATCTTGGGCCTGGGCAGGAACTGGAATCTTCCTTGGCTGGGCCCCAGAGATATTAACACTTTGTGGGTCCCTGGAGGAGAGCAGTGATCACCAACATGTGAGTGGCAGGCATCTGTGTGGCACTCAAGATTGACGTGGGTTCAGGTAAGGACCCTGACATTAATCTGGGCAGGAAGACCCCTCACCCCACCCCAAAGAAAAGGTAGAAAAGTTTTTGCATCTTTCACCTTACAAGGCTCGCAGAACATTAAATCCAGGAGAGCTTTATGTAGTGGGGTGCAGGGTGCCTGCGACTGAGGAGAAGAAAAGGTGGTGTAGAAAATGTGGTGTGGAAAATATGCAAACTGTGAGGGTCTCAGCTAGGCCTCTCTAGGGCCTCTGATGATAGCCACCCCTCCCCAGCTCGCTCTCCAGCCAGGACCCCCAGCTGTCCTCTGGGTCCCGTGCGACAGCTGAAGGGTGTGCAGGGGAGGGGGCGGGGGTCCAGGCAGCGCTGGTCACACACTCCTGGCTGGCGCTTAGGGCCCCGCTGTCCGCCCCTCCCCCAGGCTCGACACTATTTTGGGTGGTGTAGACCCCGCCCCCACTTCGGACCGAGCCCTGGCTCTCCAGGCAGCTGGTGGGGTCTCGGTGCACCTCGGACCGGGACCGCCGACACGTCTGCAGCCATGTCGGGCCGCTCGGTGCCACATGCCCACCCAGCCACCGCCGAGTACGAATTTGCCAACCCGAGCCGCCTGGGTGAGCAGCGCTTCGGAGAAGGTATGGCACAGACGCCACTCCCCGGCCTCCCACCCCCACCGCCTGTAATTCTGGGCTGACCTCCCAACGGTGCTGGCCTCCACCCCACTCTGGGCTTAACTGAACTCCTGGGGCAAGCCATCTCCCACCTCAGCTCCCCCCTCACACCCTCCAAACAGGGCCCTTTCCCCTTCCCACTGACCTCAGTGCAGACGTGGTAAGGGCAATGCTCTGACACCTGCCCCCTGTCCCCCTTAGGATGCCTCTTGTTCCCTTTCTGTTTAGCCATCTGCTTTGGTTTGCCCTCCTCTGCCTCCATCTCATTTCCTTTCTCAATCCCTTCTCCCCAGTTGCCTCCTTCTCGTCGTTGTGTCCCCTTCTCTCCCCTTCCCTACTTCTGACTCCCCTCCTGCTCCCCCAGTCCTCATCTCTCATTTCACCCCTGTTCCTACCTCGTGCTCCCTCATCCTGCCTCTCGCCTTCTCTTTCTCTGCCCCTCAGGCCTCCTGCCAGAAGAGATCCTGACCCCCACCCTCTACCATGGCTACTATGTCCGGCCCCGGGCCACCAGAGCTGGGGAGGGTAGCAGGGCAGGGGCCTCCGAGCTCAGGCTCAGTGAGGGCAAGTTCCAGGCATTTCTGGACGTGAGCCACTTTACCCCAGATGAGGTGACCGTGAGGACTGTGGACAACCTACTGGAGGTGTCTGCCCGGCACCCCCAGCGCTTGGACCGCCACGGCTTCGTGTCCCGAGAGTTCTGCCGCACCTATGTCCTGCCTGCTGATGTTGACCCCTGGCGGGTCCGCGCTGCTCTCTCCCATGATGGCATCCTTAACCTGGAGGCGCCTCGGGGTGGCCGACATTTGGACACTGAGGTCAATGAGGTCTATATCTCCTTGCTCTCTGCACCTCCTGATCCGGAGGAAGAGGAGGAGGCAGCCAGAGTTGAGCCCTGAGTGCCACAGACCCAGCAAGCACCCAGCACTTTCTACCTCATGCGGTGATATGAGCAGCTGCCACCACCCCAGAGGCAGCAACATGCTTGGGGGAAGGGAAAAGTGCATGGGCCACAATGTATGGTTTGGTCCCTTGGGACATGTCCTAGTCTTTGGTTTAGTTCTGGGTGGAGGTGAATAAACCCAAATCTCAGGGCCTTGTTTGTGCTGCTCCCTATTCTCTGGCCTGTTGGATGGGGTGGGCAGGGAGGGAGAATAGCCAGCTAGAAAACAAGCTCCTCAGTTAGATGTACCCAACATTACAGAACCCTGAGCTCACACTTGGATGCTGAGATGACACACGGAAGCTGACACTGGCTCCAGATCAAATTCCTAGCCATAATTTTCTCACAGTGCAACAAAAGAGAGTATCATCCTGGGAGGGAAAAGGGATGTGCCATCCAAACAGCCAGAGGGACTGTCTGAGCTGGTGATTAACGACACAAAAACAAGGGTCCCCAGACCGTCTGGCCTGTTTGGGGCAGGGATCGGGGAAACAGGCTTTGGCTGGAGACGATTGTCCTGTTTTCCCATCCTGAGGTCCGGCCACTGAAAATGGTCTCTGATTCTGAGGTACAGACAAAGAAATCTCTGCCATTATCACCAAACCGCAAAGTCTCTCTATCCTCTGCACAGGGGAGGCCCGTGACAGAAATTTGTCTTGTATCTTGGAACACCCCAAAGAGAGGAACCATTGCATCATCACCCCTCACATCATCATCCAAGGGAATCTAGGGCTATTGGTGTAGTGTTGATGGCCAGGACAGCAGCCTTTGGAAGTGGAGTCTTATTACTAGAGGTATGATGTGTGCAAGACAGCCTGGGTGTCTGACCCCTCAATTACTTTCTGTAATCAAGAGAGCAGGTGTGTGTATGATTTGGAGAATATCCAGACTTCCCTGCCCCAAAATATATCTTTTATGAGGCTGTGGTGGACATCTGAAATTCTTCCATTAAAGTGGTTGATTCTTAACTTTGTTGGGTTATAGAACCCATTTGAAAATCTGACAAAAGCTGTAGACCCTTTTATCAGAAAAATACATATGCTCCCAAATTTGGGATACAATTTGAATAGGTTCATACAACTTTTGAGATCCATTCATATGCCCCCCCCTGAGGGATCTGTGGACCCCCAGGATAAGAACCCTCACTTGATTAAAGGATTGTCATCAATTTAAAATGAAAGCATGCTTCAGAAAAATAACTGTTGATATTATCCATTTGTTCATTCAACATTTATTAAACCCCAAGTAATACACTACAGGGGATACACATTGCAAGTATAAGTTATAAAAACTATGGTATTTTATTGTTTTCTCTCAGGAATCTTAGTACCTAGTTGAGAAGAAAAAGAATTAAAAAAAAGGATCCTACTCAGACTTCAACCAGAACAGCTTCACATTGATTTGTTTTGTAACTGGGATTTTTACATAAGCTTTACTTAAAAGAAAAGGTTCTTTAGCTATTATAGGGGGGAAAAAATTGAGACCTTTGATTTAGTCCAAATCCCCACCCTATTCAAGTTAGTTCAAGATTATTAGTGAACTTCTTCTGGGATATTTTGAGTGACACAGAACTAAAAACATAAAGTAGCCTACTTCATTTTCTTTTTGGACAAATCTGTTATAAGTATTTCCTTCTATTAAGCCAAAATCTGCATTTCAGTAACATCTGCCCATTGGTTCTGGTTATGTCCAGAAAATAAATGCAATTCTTCTTTCACCTGAGGTTCTTCGCCTGAAGGACTTAAAGATAACCATCCTGTCCTCCTAGGGCTTCCCTTCCCCAACTAAACACCCCTAGTTTCTTTAACCATATCTTACAGGACTTTCCATACCACATACTACCCAGACAATTCGCTCTTGAACACAATGCCTTTGACAATCTGAAATTCAACATGTAGACCTAAAATTATTTTTCTGTGGACTGACTGGCCCAGACTTCAGTGGAGTAATCAATACCCTTCTTTATTATCTGTAGACTTCTGTAAGTGCTGCTGTAAGTGTATCACATTTTCTGGATACCGCTACCCACTGTTGGTTCTTTTGGAGTTTCTAGCCACATAAAATCTCTTAGGTGTTTTCCTTTACATTTCTTCTTTAAATTAGAGAAAGTGGCTGGGAACAGCCAGATGTGGAGGGCTTTGAGTACTAGGCTAAGAAGCTTAGGTAATAGGATGAAAAGAGTACAGTTAATAGTAGAGTACAGAATGGATTGCCGGGGAGAAGTATGACCATGAAATAAGAGGCTGGTGCAATGATCCAGCACAAAATACTAAAGTAAAATGCTTTATCATCTGACAATTTGATGAGAAGAAGTAATAATAACAATAGCCAGGGCGCACTGAAAGCTCCCCATGTAGCCAGGCTCTGGACTAGAGCTTTATAAATATTATCTCATTTACTCTTCACCACAATTCTGTGTAGCTGTCACTCCTATTGCCCCCATTTTTCATAAGGAAAAAAGATGGGGAGGAATGAAGAGTCCAGGGCACTCTCTGTGGGGTGCAGGGCTGAGGAGCGGGTCTTGAATACCCATAAGGACCACACAAATAACTGGGCATCTGAGCAAGACACTAAAGATGCAGGTGGGAGCATTAGAGACAAGCATTACAGATTTCCCAAATTCTCCTAGAGCCCATATTTTCTACAGAGGAATTTGCTCGATTGCATCTTAGTTGCTGGTAAGTGTGGAATGAGTGTAATTTTGGGTCATTGGAAGGAGAAGCTGAGTTGAGGTATAAATGGATATTCTGTAATTCTGTACTGAAAATGGGGAAGTGAATGGTGAAGAAGCTCTGAGGCCATTCCAATCAGTCATATGATTTTTGACCAGAAAGGGAATTAAGCAATAGATTCAGTACTCCATTTTACAGTCCTAGAAAAAAGTGATTTGCCCATGTTAATTCCAAAAGCAAGGGAGAAAGAATATAAAAGGAATTCATTTCCCTATGTTTAAGTTTCCAAGAGACTCCAATATTCAAACCCAGATTCTGGACAGAGATAATAAGAAATTGATACTGATTACCTTGAAAGTGAAACTCAATTAAAGCTGAGTAGTGCTGGGAAACATAAGGTTAAGACACTTTATTCCATCATAGAGGATATATTTCAATGACAGTGTGATGTAGTGGAGAAACATTTCCTAAGGAAAACCAGAACCCTTTTCTAGCTCAGGTTTCTTTTCACTGAAACTTGAAGCTCAAAGTTCATAGCTTCATCAAAGCAGCTCCAAATCCCAAAGGTGAGATAGTTCTCACCTGGCGTCCGTGTATGTTCCTCTACCCTTTGGCTGGGAGCAGCCACCTGGGAATCATTCCAGCAGGTGGCTTCCAAAGTCCAACCTGCTAGGTTGAAATCTGACACTGACAGAGACTCCCCAGGAGTCTGAAAGCTAAACCAGGAACCAGGAAATGCACAAGCCTCTTTATGTAGAAAAACAGCTGGGCTCCCTCAGAGACAGAGCACCATGGGAAACCGGCTGTGCTGCGGGAGAAGCTGGTGAGTAGGGGGCAAAGGGGAGGGTAACATCTCTCTCAGTAGACATGGAAGCCCTGAGAAACAGATAGAGCCTGCAAACAGTTCTCTGCCAACTTCCTACTGCCACATTCCTCTGCCTGGCACCTCCTGGTGCCAACACCAGAACAGCACCTCCTTCTGTGCTCACTCCTTTCAGGAGACCTCAGAAAACACAGCCAAGCCAGCTGTCTATAGAATACCCAGAGGAGAGCTGGAATGGTGAATTGGTATTGTTTCTCTTTGTCTTCCTCTTCCTTTTCCTTTCCCCTCCCTTCTGTCCCTTCCCTTCTTTTCCCAGAAGATGATAATTGTAGCATTTGCTAGCTTACTATGTGTCAGGCACTTTACAAACAATCTCATTTAATTTCCCCAACAATTCTGAAAGGAGGTGGCCTTACTCCTCCCATTTTTTACTGCTGAGAAGCTGAGGCTCAGAGCAGTTGTCCGAGGTCACATGGCTCGGAAGCAAATACACCAAGATTCCAACCTAGGTCCGTCTGATTTCAGAGCCCATACTTTTAACCACTGCATAATACTGCCTCCCAAATAAAGCAAATCAACTTTGGAGAAATGTTTATTTAAAAGGGCAGAAGTGGGGAGGAGACTGTCCGTGGAATATTTGAATATAACTTTCATCTTTATTTGCTGTGTGACCTTAGTCAAACCCTGTAACTTCTTTTTTCTCATATATCAAATATAGATAACATGACCTATGTTGTTTAGATCA